AAGGAAATTGAGTTAATAATCAAAAACTTCTGCAAAAGAAATATCCAGGATGACATGGTTTTCATCATGAACTCTAAAGAACATTTAAAGAATAACAATACTACTCAAACTCTTCCAAAAAATTGAAAAGGAGGGAATGCTATCAAACTAATTTTACAAGACCTGATATCAAGGCCAGGTAAGGATATTACAAGGAAAGAGAGCTGCAGGCCAATACTACAGGCAAATATTGATGCAAAATTTCCTCAATAAAATATTAGCAGAGCAAATTAAACAGCCATTAAGAAGGTCATACACCACACAATCAAGTGGGATTTATCCCTGCTATGCAAGGTTGGTGCAATGTACACAAATCAACTAATATTATAATAGAGTGAAAGATAAAAATCATATGATCATCTCAATTGATACAGAAAGGCATTTAACAAAATATAACACCCTTTCATGATAAAAATTCAGAATTTTTGGCATAGAAAGAATATACCTCAATATAAGGTCATATATGACAAGCCTACCGCTAACTTCATACTCAGTGATAAAAGACTGAAAGTTTTTCCTTTCAGATCAGGAATACCACAAAGGTCCCTACTCCTACTACTCCTGTTCAAGACAGAATTGGAATTTCTACCCAATCAGTAAAAGAAAAAGTAAATAAAAGGTATACAAATTGTAAAGAAAGAAGTAAAATTATCTCTGTTTGAAGTTAATATGATACTATGTATAGAAAATCCTAAAAATTCCACCCAAAAAACTGTCCACTAAATTAGCAGGATATAAATTCAATATACAGAAATCACTTGGGTTTTTGTACACTAACAACAAAATAGCTAAAAATGAAAGCTATTAAAGAAAGAAATTCCCATTCACAAAAACATCAAACATAATAAGATACTGGGCAATAAATTTTCCAACATTGGTAAAAGATCTGTACACTGAAAACGATAAAATTTGATCAAAAAAATTGAAGACCTAAGCAAATGGAAAGATATCCTCTGTTAATGGATCAGAAGAGCTAATATTGCTGGAATATTCATACTAGCCATCTATAGAGTCCAATGTAAACAATCAAAATTCCAGTGGTGTTCTCTATAAAAATAGGAAAAATTATATTTAATTCATATAAGAACTACAAAAGATTAAAAAGTAATTCTGAGAAAGAACACAACTGGAGATATCATAGTTTCCTGATTTCAAACTTTATTGTAAAACTATAACATGGCATAAAAATAGACACATAGACCAGTGGAACACAACCAACAGCCAAAAATTATTCATATACCATCAATTAATATTTGGTGAGGGAAACCAAGATTATTCAATGGGAAAGGATACTCTCTTCAAATAAATGGTGCTGGGAAGAATGGATAATTATATGTGAAAGAATGAAATTGGATTCTATCTTATACCACTCACAAAAATTAACTCAAAATGGATCTAAGACTTATATATAAGATTTGGAATCATAAAATTCTGAAAAGAAAACATAGGAGGTAATCTCCTAGACTTGGGTCTTAGCAATACTTTCTTGACACAAAAATAAAGCAAAACAAGCAAAAAAAACTCAACAAAACAAAACTCTTGCAAAAAAAGCACAAAAAATAAGTGGGTCTACCTGAAACTAAACTATTTCTTCACAGCAAAAGAACCAAGCAACAAAATGGAGAGGCAACTTAGGAAATGGAAGAAAATATTTGTAAACCATACATCTGATAAGGAGTTAATATCCAAAATTCATAAGGAATTTCTACAAATCAATAACAAAAATAGGATTTTAAATAGGCAGAGGAACGGAATAGGAAATTTTCAAAGAAAACATTTAAGTGACTAATAGCACATGAAAAAATGCTCAGTGTTATAAATCATGGAAATGCAAATCAAAATCATAATGAGATATTGCCTCACACTTGTTAGACTGGTTATTATAAAAAAGACAAGAAATTAGTGTTGTAAAGGATGTGGAGGAAAGAGAACCTGCTGGACTATTGGGAATGTAAGTTGGTATAGTCATTATAGAAAACAGTAGAGGCTCCTTAAAATACCAAAAATAGAACTACCATATGAACCAGTAAACCCATCTCTGAGTATTTTTCCAAAGGAAAGGAAATCAGGATCTTAAGAGTTATCTGCACTTTCCTGTTCATTGCAGCATTAACTCACAATATATGACTAACCAAGATATGGAAGCAACCTAATTCATCAATGATTGAATGAATAAAGATGTGATATATATGTACAATGGATTATTATTCCACCACCAGAAAAAAGGAAATCCTACCATTTGTGACAATGTGAATGAAACTTGAAGGCGTTATAATAAGGGAGAGAAGTCAAACAGGGAAAGATACTGTATGATCTCATCTGAATTCTGGATAGACAGTATGGCAAGAACTATAGAATATTCACTATCTGTGTGTGTGTATATATATATCTCAAATGTAATATTATTAAAGTGAGCATAATAAAATTAATTTTATCATAAAAAAATAAATAAATGTGGACTTTTAAAAAGCCAAACTCAAAAAAGCAGACTAAAATGGTGATTGCCATTGTCTTGGGTACGGGTAGGGAGTGAGTAAAATGAGAAGATATTGGCCAAAGGGTAAAAATTTCCAGTTAAATGATAAGCAAATGTACAGTATGGTGACTCTAGTTAACGATACTATATTAGATACTTACAAGTTGCTGAAAGAGTAGATCTTAAATGATCTCACCCATACCTCCACAACTCCCTTCCCTGCCCCCATACACACAAGTAACCTTTGTCAGGGACCCTGGCAGATGCAGCATTCTCTATCTGGTCTGTGATTAAGGAAACAGATTCAAAAGATTCACAGGATTAGAAGGTGCAATTCTCAATTCCACCAGTAAACAATAACATTGAAGTGACAAAGTTCTGACCAACTCAACCCTGGACAAGGAACAAATCCAGGGGTACGACCACTATGTCTTTTATGAATCAATTAGGAGTAAATTATTTCATTTGGACAAAGCAGCAGAGGGGAAAGAACATGGCTAAGTGTGCATTGGCTCTTGAAGCTTCTGCCCCAAAGCAATCCGCATCACTTCTGTTCACATATCATTGGCCAGAGCAAGTCTGATGTCATTGTGTGGGTATGCAAGGAGAGGCAGTGAATCTCTTTAACAATATAATCTAACCCACTTTTACAGAGAATTGTTCTTTCAGTGATCACTAGGAAGGCTATCATAGTGTACAGTAATGTGGAAAAATCTTTTGGAGTGATTCCCAAAGCAAGTGTGTTATGTCACGTAAGAAATTGACTTGTTTTTATGGGTTTTCACCCCAGTGGCATTCCTTACGTGGATCATCACCCAGTTCTCAGCTGTGACTACCAATGATTTTTAACTTACTTCCCCAAAATTAAATCTACCTTAGGAAGTAAAAATTTGCCATTGTTTGCACTGGTCAAAGAAAGATAACCCAAGCAACTCCCAACAAGGAACTACAGAAATGTGAGAAATTACAGCCTCGCCAAACTCACTGACCAGACTTCCAGTGGAATTCCCTAAAGGGAATAATGTTTGGTTGAAGAAATGTGTGATAAATGATAACGTATTGACGATATATATCATACAGGCATATGCCACATAAGGATATTTGGTCCATGATAGACCAATGTGTGACACTGCTCCAAATTCCCTATGGCCTAGTGACATCATAGCATTTACACCTGTAGCAGCCTCATACAAGTCTTGTTACTGTGTTTCTTGAGAGCATAATTTTCCTTTTTTACTTGCTTTAATCACATTTTATTTTGTTCATCCAGGCCCCCAAGCATACAAAATTCAAGGCTAATGTTGCCAGTAAGAGTCCGTGTTGAGTGATTGCCCTGGAAATGAAGTTAAAAATGATTAAGGACTGTGAAAGAGGAAAATCAGTGAGGTTATCACTCAACATTCACATATGTCCCATTCCACAATAGCTATGATCTTGAAGAATAAGAACAAAGTGATGAAAATTGGTAAAGGTCCTGCTTCATTGAAAGCAAAAATAACTAACAAAACTTTGAGAGGGGACTATTATCAGGTGTGGAGATACTTCCAATGATTTGAATTGAAGAAGATCCGACACAGAAATATAACCCTCTCAGCTCCTTCACCATCACAACCAGAGCAAAAACATTGTTTGATGTTGAAAGGAAAGGCTGGACCTGACTATGATGTTGAATTTATTGCTTACTCTGTGTGGTTCAAATGACTCAATCATTTTTCACATACTGCGAAAGTATATGGTGAGTCTTCAAATCCTGATGTGAAGGCAGCTGAAAAATTTTTAGAAACTCTAGATAAGCTGACTATGAAGGAAAATTATTTGCCAAGGCAAATCTCTAATGTGGATGAAGCCTATCTCTCCTGGAAATGAATGCCCAAGAGGACTTTCACCCAGAGGAGACCAAATCAATGCCAGATTTCAAAACTTTTGAGGACAAGATAATAATTGTTAAAAGAAATTAGTGTGACTTTAGGGATCACTAGCACAAGAAGAAGTAGAAAGGCACAACTACAGAATGATAATAATGACTCAACTGTGTGAAAAGCTAACTGCGTTCCAGGTACTAAATGATTTACATGCATGATCTCATTTAACCCTGGCAGCCAGAGTTAGGATTATATAGGAACTTGCTGAAGAAGAAACCTACTGTCAGGGCTGTACAAATGCAAGCTTGACTCTGGTGTGACCCTGACAGTGAGTGCCCCCTTCAATTTTATGCCCTTAGTGTCTCACCTCACCCTGGTCACAGACCTACTTTCAACAATCCTGTGAGATCAACATCATCACCTTCTCTGCAGATGAGGACACACAGGCCAATAGAGGCTGAATGTCTTTCTTCGCTTTAATCCAAGCTAATAAAAGTGGTGGAGCAAAGATTTAAATCCAAATCCTTGAGGGCAGTTGAACAACCAAAGCCTGGACCTTGATTGACTGCACCCTTGCCAACACCCTAATCTAAAGTTTCGGTTGTTTTTGTCTTCCTTCCCAGGTATCCAAGGCAGCTGCAGACTTGATGGCCTACTGTGAAGCGCATGCCAAGGAAGATCCCCTTCTGACCCCTGTTCCGGCTTCAGAGAACCCATTTAGGGAGAAGAAGTTTTTCTGTGCCATCCTTTAAGTCTTCGAGAGGAACCTGAAGAGCCTTGGGGCTCCTGGGACACTGATGTAGAGTTTTTAGCAAAGTGGGCGCCTTTCTAGTCCACAGCATTTAAAGAGAGTGAAGAGAACCATCCTGGAAACTCCAGGCTATGCATGTTTAAAGATCTGGTCCCCTTTATGAGAACGAAAGCCGATCCACATCCTGCATTAAGAGGTCTGATACCTGCAGAACTGCCTGGAGGAGGGGGATATGTAAAGATAAATATGTGTCATTTCCATTCTGCTACCCCTCCCAGACTTTTCATTTCTGCTTCATACCTAAAAAATAAAAATCAAAACAGATGGCTGTTCTGTACTAAGATACATATGACTTTTCTTGGCATGGAAATTGCTTTAGAATACCCTTTGATCAGCTGAGTTGTCCAGTGTAGCTGAGGTTTTGTTGGATGGTGTTGGTGTTGCTGTTGAGTCTTTGTGCCTTTCTTTTTCTTTTTTCTCTCTTCCTACCCCTCTCTACCACACCCCCCCTCCACCTTCCCACCCCAGTTAGAGTAGTACTGAGAATAGACCGGACTAGTCTGTAAGACCAAACTCCAAGGATGTGTCCAAAATGTTTAGGGAGATGTTCCCATGGTTTATCCTCATGGCAACAACAGCAGTTCCGGTTGTCTGTATTCGTTTATCATTACTCTAACATTGTACATGATAGCTTTGATCCTGCAAGTAAAGTAAATCATGTGTTGTGACTGGTGCTTTCATATATTTGTGACAATTTTGGGATAATAGTGCATGAAAATGTCCCTATGTTACATCCATTCAGAAGTTTTGTTGTTTTACTATAAAATCAGGAAATGGAATGAAAGAGAAAAGAGGCTGAGGGGGAAAAAAAAATCCCTCAGTATTTCTGAAAATTGAGATTACTTCAGAGCCTTAGCCATGCCTAAAGTACCTCCAGTTAAAACTGGCATAAATGCCTCTTCAATATTCTTTCCAGTATACAAAGCATTTTGGTTTGATCCAAGACCCAGGGCAACACAGGTACTGCCAAACAGGAGAGGTAAGGATTCACCATGAGTTGGAGTGCTTTCATCAAAGGGTAGAGCAAATTCCCTCTTACCCTGAATTGTGGAAATTCTAGACTAAAAGAATGCTTCCGTGCTCTTCTTAACAAGAAAAACATGACCCTAGGTTGTTCCAGTAATAGGAGAACTAAATCCATGGCTCCAGCGAATACCCATTCTCAGTGTCCCAGCTGTTGGCTGGCAGGAAGAAGGAGGCAGATGCAGACTCCACCCCATCCAGCTCCACTAGAGAATGTTCTGGCTCTCTTTTCCACAGAGGCAGTCATCATTTCTCACCCAATACATTTTTCAAGGGGATATTTTCTTTGTTCTCTGCACCTTATTTTTTTCCTCTCTCAGTCTTTGTTTACCATTTCCTTGTAGCTAGATCTCTCTTTTCCCAAGAGATGATATTGAAAGTGATTTTTCAATGTAGCTCTAGCCTCTACCAGTAATAGGAGACCCTGCCCTTTTTACTTTTCTCTGTGTCATTCCCAGGCAAAAGAGGGCCATCCTTAACATCTTGTTTGCTTTCAAATTTCAAAGCCCACTTCTAAATTAATTTTATTTTCCTCTCTTTCTATTCTTTTGTTCCCATTAAAAAATTTTTTTCGGAGAGGGAGAAAAAGCGAAGATGAAAAGACTTACTGTGCCAAAAACAAATTTTGAAACAGGCTCAGTAAATGTTTTCCTGAGCTGTACATCCAATTAAAGCTCATGCCTGGGATAATAGGAAGAGAATCCTGACATATTTCGAGATGGATGAGTACACTTCTATAACCAGATGCTCGTTTCAAACTTTGGAACTGTGTTATAGTCAGTGGGACACTGATGAAGATTTAGAGGGGAAAAAAGCCCTAGCAGAGTATTTCTTAAACTACAGTGTTGTACCATTGGGTTAGTGATACTGTAAAATCAGCTGTCACATTTCTAAAATGAGCCAAAATATGACTTGAATATGGGGTCACATAAAAACAACTATGAATAAAAGCATTCTTTGGTAGTGATTAAGGCGTCATTATGATACCCTGATGATTTTCACAATTCATACCATTTAATCTTCTCAGAAGGGCTCTATACTTTCATGTAAATCTATATCTTCAAGTAATTACAGTGGCATTGAAGTTTTTAGGTAGCTCCAAAATGCAGCTGTGGTAATGAAGTTAGGAAGTTCCAAAGTGTGTGTGACCTTGTTTACAAAAGGAGAAAGCAGAAAATATACAGCCCATCTGAAATAAGGAAAATATTCTGGCTTTTTCATAATTTTGTGTCCCACAGTATAGATTTATAATATCAGAGTCTTTATATGAGTTTGAACTTGTTGGTATGTTTTCTTGTGAAGGGGAATTACCTTTGGATTCCTTATACCTCTGAAGAGCTTTAATTCTTTTAAAAACTCAATCATTTTCACCAGCATAATTTTATCTTAAGGAATAACTAAAAGTAAAACTTAGTTATTCCAAGCCCCAATCTCTGTATGAAATGTATTGGATAGTAATGAAAATAGGCTGTGGAATTACTTAAGTAGTAACATATCCTTTATACTTAAAAATGCAAACTCTAGGAAGAAAAAAAAAACAATTTTGCAAAATCCTCAGTATTAACTCTGGTTTCTATTTTTTTCTCCAATTCAAGCCAAGTACTATTTAATTTAAATCAAAGAAGTTGCTAATAAGTACTTTGAATTAAGACTAATTTTGCTAATAATATTTTAAAGAGTTTGCTTACCAAGGAAAAAATAAAAACCATTTCTCTATACACTCATTCACTCACATTCAAAGTTCTTCGAACTTTGAGAAATTAAGCATGACGTCTTAGAGGATTTTGTGCTTTTTGTGTACGTAATATTTGCTTCTAGCTGCTCCTGGCAATGGTTATTTGTTACATATACATTAATGTTTTCCCAGACCAACAATTGTTCGCATTTTTCTCTATATAAGATCTATAGTGTTTGTCTTTCAACAAAAGAGAAATACAGAAATGTTGAAGCGAGAAAACCTGAATGTGATGTGCACATTTTCATCCCACAAGGGCAATGTATTTGTTTTAATAAATGTAATTTTCAGATTCATTTCATATGCAGTCATTTTCATTGTTGAAGGCCTATGATCCCCGCCGCACCTTGATCCCCAGTAAATTTGAGAAAGATGATAAGAGGCATGGGGGGCTAGGAATCCTCTGATTTTCTTTAGGATTTGTTCACAGAAGTGCCCTAATGAAGGAAACCTCACAGGAGCCTCTAAAAGCCTTTTTCAATGGGTCCCCCTATCTCATTTATAGCACTTGGGGATGGGGAATGGATGCTGGGGAAGAGCAGGACTCTGATGGGATTGACCCTGAAGATAGGCGTTGCATGCACTCTCATGTGCTGCCAGCATGCCACTCTGATGTAGGGGTTGGGAGGGTTCCTTTATCAAAAAAAATAAATAAATAAATTTGAACGCAGAAAGTGCTGTTCATGATTTAAAAATAGTACTGGAGAAGATAAAATATTCAGAACTTAGATTCAGCAGCTCCTTGGAGATATTCTTAGTCAAAAAAGCCTTCTCGTGTTTTTCACTATGCCAGTGAACAGACCCTGCTGCTCTTAAGGAAGGAGATACTGGGTCTCCGGGGACATGTGCCCATGACAACAGTGTCTTTAAACCTCTGCTGAAGGAGCCACTTGGAATCAGTGCATTTGCCATGTCCATTAGTGTTTCTTAGACTGTGGCCCCTGAACCACCTGTTTCGGAATTACCTGTTCCAAAGGCAGACGCCAGGCCCCCAACTAAGGATTTCTGGTAGGGCCCTTGAGGACATGCACTGTCGCATGTTATAGTCTGAGGGCCACTTCATGTAAGTACTTATGACAGCTAGCTTTTCATAATGCCTAAGGAAAGGCACAAACTAATTGTAAATATGCTCACTCCTATTCCCACAGTCACAGGAAGTGGCTGCCCAGGAAGCGCCATGTTACCTGTGGGTGCCAACTGAGCCAGCTCTGGATTTGAGACACAGTGAGGAGGAAGCTGGTGGGTTTTAACTCTGCTCCTGTTTTATTGAGTCCCTGTGGGAGGATTGCCTCCAGCTCTTGTTCTTTAATAAGCTGGTCACATTTTAGACAGTGCTCACAATGACGTGGGAATTGTAGCTGGGTCAGCTCCAATCCACAAATTGCAAATAATTTGCCAAGGGAAATCCCTTTCCCTTCGGTTCTGCCCCAAATCTACATTTTCTTCTATTTAGAATCAGGAGACTCAAGCAGAATTTATTTTTAATGAAGGGGGTCATGGACTCCCAGGCCTTTCCTTAGTAAGAATTCCTCCTCAGTGTCCATGAGAAGGGAAGCCTGGGCATGGGGCAGGGGGAGGGCATACATCTATACTCTGATGAAAGAATGATACCTGGCAACTTCAGTTCATCCTGTGTGCAAACACAAGCCCACCTAGCATGTGACCTTGGGCAAGTCCTTTAATCTCACCATGCTATGAAGTATGGACAAGAATGCCATATTCACTTGCCTCACAAAATGGTCACAACCAGATGAGAGAGAGTTAGTTAAGGGGCATCATGGAGAAGAGGTGATAAAGAATCATTTCATACTACTTGACAGCAATTTTTCAGATGAGGGTAAGACTAGACAGTTCCTTCCCATCTCTTGACTCACCTCTTTCCCCCCGCCCTCATTGACCGCTGGTTCAGACCCTCAATGCCTCATGACTGAATTCCTGCCACACCTACTGATGTGGCACTTAGACCCTAATCTCCCACTCTAAGTCCTCCCACATACCTTTGAGTATTCATTAATCATGACTCTTTGCTCATAAGTGACAGGAGCCTAATTAAAACCATCTAATAGCTGAGGAACTCAGAAATAGGCTTGCTTCAGGCTCAGCTGCATCCAGATGCTCAGATATGTCATCAGATGTCTCTCTCTCTCATCCCTTGACTCTACTTTCCTCTGTGCTGGTTAATTCTCAGACAGACTCTTCCCTGGCAGCACTGCCACCAGGTAAACAATGGCAGAAAGATAATGGCAAAAGCCCCTCACTGTATTCAAGAAATACCTCCTAAGACTCTTCGTGGTTGAATCTGGCTTCTATGCCCAACCCATTCCTGAACCTGGTGACATGGGCAGAACAGCACATCTAAGAAATTGAAGTACTCCTTCTAGAGGAGGAGAGACTGAAGTTTAAAGGCAAAAACAGCTGGCGCCAACACATCTTACCAGATTCCTTGAGGTAACTTCAGGTTGCACCATTCAGAAAGCCAGAGTGCTCCGGCTAATGCAGCTCACTAGAGCCACACTGCCTGGCTGTCAAGACCCCAGAGACTCAAAGCTCTCTTCTGGTCTATCTTGCTTCCTGTGGATATAACATTTTCAATCCTACCTATACACCGTTGCTTATGTTACCCACCTTCCCCCCAAGCCTGGGACACCATTACTCAGCCCCTTTAGTAAATAAATCTTGCTCATTTTTCAGTGTCCCCTCCAAATTCCATGTTGTCTGTGAATGAATTCAGAGACTAATCCCTCCCCTCAACTCCTATCTTTGCATCAGCAACAATCAATTTTGTATTTGACTGTGCTTGAGGCATTGTGTTAGAGTAGCCACATGGAGCTGGTGGTTTAGTGGAGGAAGGGACAAGTAAATGTTTAATTACCAGTTAAAAGAGAAGTTCTTGGACTCAGGGAGCTGAGAGGAGGCTCTCAAAGGTAAATTATCAGTAGGAGGAAGTTTATGTTGGAATTAACTGTTCGTTATATGAAACTCTTGTCAGGAGGAGACTTGTCTAACTGATCATCTCCATGGGAGTGGAGAATACCAGTTGCATAGGCCTCTCTGTATCCAGGGTGCCTGGTGCAGCTCTTCAGAACACAGTAAGTACTCAGAAGTGATTGTTGATGGATTAAGCACAGGATTAATACCTGCAGAGAATGGGGCAATGCTGAGGTGTAGCTAGTAAAAGCCAGTCTTGTGAGTTGGTCAAAGACAGCTGAGAACAAAGCTGTCCACACGACAAGGACCAAGCTGCAAGAAGTTTGTGGGCCCTCTTCCCTCAATCAGCACAGTTTCGTGTCCCTGGGACCTCATTTTCTTTAGCCAGGAGCCCCGTGGCCCCAGTGATAATCACCACTCTCAAACCTACAAGTGACACCCAGCAGGCCCGTGAAGGCTCAGAGCCCAGACAAAATACCTCACAGGCTAGCCTCAGAGGAAGGGTCCTTTTCACTATTCACTGGAAATACTATCTCCAGTTGGCCTATACTGTGCTGTGTGTAATTATTTAAATTTAGATATAAATCAACTAACATTAAGTAAAATAAAAAAATTCAGTTCCTCAAGTCATCTTCACCAAGTGCCCAGAACCACATGCAGTAGCAGCCATCATGTTGAGCTGAGATACAGAACATTTCCCCACTGCAGGAAGTTCTGCCAGACTGTGGTGCTCCCCAGCAATGGTTAGCAACTTTTTCCACCCCATGCAACTGACAAAATATGCCTTCAAATTGTGTTCAAATTTTAGCAAAACACAGGGACAAAGTAAAAGTACATAAAAATTCATAATAATCACATTTGGCCATAGGTCACAAGCCAGACAGACTGGTATAGAAGAGAGAGGCTATGAGCTTTGCCTTGAGTCCTCTGAGACATAAATTCACCCCTGTCACTCTCGCTGATGAAAATGCAAGGATAATAATCACGGTGACGATGATGATAATAGCAATAAAGTGAACACTTACTAAAGGGCTTAGCTATGTGCCACCCACAATGTTAAACATTTTATAGACATCATTTCATTTAATTCTCACAGTAACTCTATGAATATGGATATTATTTATCTCCCATCGGAGGTACCTTTTGTACCTCATGTCACATTTGGTGACCCTTCTGACTTCTGCCACAGTTATGGCGGAGACTTCCCTGTAAGTTCTTTCTTCCAGGTGTGGATGAGGAATTTAAATTCCCAGAAACAATCCTCAGTGAGGGATGGGACTGTGAGTACACTCCCAGATTCCCACCCATCATGTAAAATCACATTGTATGTGATTTCTCAGGGTCTCTGGCAGTGTTGAATTTCAATTGTCCAGAATATAAACCAGCCCAAAAACACACCATATCGGGGTTTCTCTCTGTCTCATAGTTTTTCTTCCTACATGTCTGTTTTCTGAGCTCATTCCCACCACCAGCCCTAATGAACTACCTATATCCAAGTCCTTGTCTCAGACTCTGCCTTGTGGGATAGGGAGATTCAAACTTAAGCCACCTTCATTTCACAGATGGGTAATTTGAGATTTAGAAAAATAAATATCTCCCTATGTCCCTTGTGCTATTAAGTGAAAGATCAAAGGTTTGAACCTAGATTTCTCTTGATTCCAAAGATTTAATTCTCAACTATTATCTTACACTGCAAACATCAATGCATACAAGAGGAAGGTTGTAAGAAAAGTTTTGAATATGTTCTTATTTATAAAATAAGCAGATTGTTTGTAAACTTCAAATCTCTGAATCACTTCTCTGGAATGAAGAAGTCAGTTAATAGAAGAAGTCAGTATTAACATTTTCATCATTGTGGTCACTTGGTACCTAGAGAGTATCCACTTTGCTTCAAAATGTGTTCAGAAAGTTTCCCGGTGTCAAGGAGCCTGGGAAAGGGATACCGAGAAGTTTGATTTTAACAGAGCAAGTCTAGAGTGTTTATTTTCTTCAGGACTTTTCAGGAGGGGAAAACTCCTCCCTTTGGTAACTACTGTGTTAGCAACTGTTCTCTGTAATCTCCGGACACAGTAATGACCCTTCAAGGGTCAGAAGCAGAGAGGCAATGGATGCTTCACTCTCAAGGATCAGGAAAGAATATCAGGACAAAAGCCCTTGCAAAGCAGCCTCGAGGTCACCCTGGGCTTCTTTGGGAAAAGATAAGAATGGTCTCATTTCCTTCCCCTGCTCCTACCCCACTTCCTGCCCTACTCCGGGAATATGCTGTATCCACTCAAGCTTGTCACAAAGAATCCCAGCACAGATCAGCAGATGTTGCTGCACTTGCATATGCACATACATGAAGAAAAGCTTACTGTTCCAGAATGCTCTGAAAGCAAACTGTTAC